TCTGTAAAGATAAAAAATTGGGATTTTTCTTTATTTTGCGTTCAGCGACCCAAAAGAAACTTGAAACTGGACGTGGATCAGATGAAAATCGCATCATCGGTACAGAACTTTAACCGGTATAGCCTAGACAAATTTTCTCAGCTTATGAGCATCGCTGGGAAAACCTATGCATGTACTGTTGGAAATATATTTTCCTGTATACGTGCAGAACCCCTTTATAAATTAAAATAGGCTAAAAAATAATGAAAAAAAATAATTTGTAATAAAAAAAATATATGAGTCTTATCGGTTACCATGCTAGTGACGAAAATAACCACAAAATATAAACTAAACAGAAAATCAAAACAAATGAAAGTAATTACAATCACATGTTTTATTTACAGCATAGGGCGAAAATAGAGAAGCCAGTACATTACATATTTTTGGTCGAGTTTCCGACCACTGGGTGGCCACTAGTAAGTATAAATGCATAGCACAAGTTTTAGGAAAGAACCCATTTTTAGAGCACCTTTTAAATCCCTCCCCACCCTTGGTTATTAAAAAGGCAACCTTTTCACTGGTATTAATTAACACCTTTACATTACTCTTCATAACCAGCCCCTCACGGATCCTAAGGAGCGAAGGTCCTTAAAGAAGGAGAAGGATGTGAAGGTGGGTGGAGAAGGAGGGGGTAATTTAAAAATGGAGGCGCCAAAGGAGCTCTTCGTCTTAATTATTGTCTAATTAAGAGCCCTACTTTAGCAACGTTTCCATGTTTTTACTTCTCAAGGTAGTGTTTCTTCAAAAACTTCACTTGAATATCACCAAAACAATTAAAAATGTTTGTTTTACGTTGGCGTTTTTACTTTGAATTTAGTATTACTTTATGTAATTTTTAATCTTTTTCCATTCTTATACCACCTATATTGTTGGTTGTGTGATACAATATAACATTATGTGACGCGAATTTTTTATGTTCTGACATCTAAAGATTTGAAGAAATGTGCCGCCTATCCAATGATCAGATAATAATTAATCAATTTAAATTCATTGTAGGTTATGTCAATATCTTATTAGGTATGGACATTTAGTAAAAAGATATTAAAGGATGTAATTCGTGTGTGCCAGAACAACAAAATCTCTAACCAATGACTCATGTTGGAAAAATTACCATTGATTTTGTGCCAAAACAAAATTACTAAAATATAACTTACTACTGACAAAAGTACCCTTGACTTACTGGAGGCAATTTAAATTTGAACATAGTTGAATGAGTCACTGCTACTGTCAAAATTTTCTGTCTGAGCATTTCATACCAAGTTAATTTATAGTTTACATGATACTATAGTTTACCCAATGCTGATTTCCTTAATTGAGCTAGTTGACGAGATATCAGCACCTCTGAAGCAACTAGAGCATTCTACCTAGCCTTGTTCGGATCCCACCTTAGAAACGAGATAATCTTTTGAGGTAGATCATCCTGAGGAAAACCGGCAACGTGAATGGTGCTTCGGAGGAAAGCAACATGATCGATGGTTTTTATTCAACCATGGGAAAGGTGCAGAGAGACTTTCAAATGCTACGCAAACATACCGCAGTCTCTATTTTGTTTTCCATATTATTAATTGAGATGGGACGCAACCTTGGTAAATTTTTTTACATGTAGGTTTTCAATTATGTAACAAACACTTATTACAGTACATATATAACTTTATACAATGAAGGTTTCTTCGTCAAAAGATGCTGTCTTTTATACTTACAATAATACCACACAAGGTACGATGCGAAATTTAAAATGGCCACAGAATATCACTCTTCTCGAAGAATCCTCTGCAAGCTGGAACGAAACTCATCAACCTGCTTCTTCAGAGCGTCCAGGAGACTTCACCAGGGATATTTGGTTTTGCCTTGCTGACTCACTTATCCAAAACTTGAGTTCATGGCTCGTTAAAGACTCAAATAAACTGACTCTGTTCTGTGCTGTAACCTCATAGTTAAATTTCGTGAGTTGAAAAAGGTATACACTACAAATTGGACTGAGGTATACATTTTCTTCATATTCCTGAAATCTGCTCCTTCTTCGACTCAATGGCATCTAACTCGTAAAGAAATATGTTCCTTTACGCTCAATGGATAAATTCGCCTAAAGAAGAAATGTCTATCTCAGTTCAATTATTTATAATGTGTAACCTACCTTTTTCAATTAACTAATTCAATTGAAGTATTCGGTTCTTTCAGTTTGATTTGCTTTCAAAAATTTAAAGCAAAATTTATAATTGGCAACCTACGTCTATTAAATGGCTCAACTCAACTATGTCCGTGTTTATTTTAAAACTGACCACATCAAAATGGAAGTCAAATGTCTTGTTCCAAGTACAAAGGTTTCAGTTACAAAAACGGTACAATACTGAAATCACAAAACCTTCAAGTCATGACTAATTCTCTAGCCAAGGTCTGACTGATAACCACGTGACTAGTCACATACCTCGCTGTGATCTTGGGCCTTATCAGCTGTCAGTAGCGGTATCTCTCGGGATTTCAATTAGACACTATCTTATCAGCAATAATACTTTATTGACATGTATGTCTAATACAATAAATTAGATTTCTATATTACCGGTATCTATATTATTTACAGAGACTGTACAAGTCCGAAGACTACGCTGTCAGAGGCCAATGCAATTTTGGAAGAAAATGTAGGATTGTAAATGAAATCTGTTGAGAAGGAAATTTTGGTTATTTATACAATGATTCAAGCTCACATAAAAACTCAGTTAAGTTATAAGCTACTCAGTTTGTTTTGTATGATTGAGTTTGAATCGTAAAACTTGTTTGTTAAACTAGGAGTAAGGTTTGTACTGTTATAAAACTACACACCCGTCTTCGGAGTATCAGTGCCACATCTGATACCTTGGGATATAGTTTCGCCATCGTTGAAGATGACCATTTTCAGAGCATAGTAACGGGGCACTACTATTTAGTTAACGAACGATGTATATACAGTAATAGTATTTATTCAGGGTTGTAGTGCTCAATTAATGCTCTGAAAATTATCATCTGCAAAGAACCGAAACTTTAGCTCAATTGATCAGGTGTATGACGCGGTTTTACTTTAAAGACAATTTTATTTTATATTATTAAGCTTGTAAAGTGTTCTTCAGAAACTTAAAATTCAATTTTTACATGTTGTTTACACTGATTATGGATTGGCTTCTGACAAACTATCACACTATAAACAGATTTATAGACAAACGTCTGAATATATACAGTTATTACATTGAACATCCTAAAACTTAAACTCCATAGTAAAAACATAGTTAGACTCTCTACTGTACTGAACATGGACATAACATTACAGACCTATTCTAGGGTAAATGGTAGTGGCAAACTGTTAGATGAGTAAAAAGTTAGATTTTCTACTTTCAAAATTGCAAACATGATAAAATGTCGTAAAAAATGTATTTTTATAATTACTTCTAGTAAAATAAAACACTCTAACTATGTTTGCCACTTAAATGGAATACATGTAGAACAGATATTTTACAGAGGAAATTGGAATGCGAAAAAGTTTGGCTCAAGTTATAAATTAAAAAAATAAATAACTAGTCAATAGTCTTCCAACAAGGAATCATCATTCTAGCGATTCCAATAGACTGCATTGCTAATACGAAAGATTTGATTACTTCTATGTATTTTATCATCTAATATTTGGATCCTATTTTGAATCGATAAACGAAGAGAGAATACAGTGAAAACTTTATAAATAGAAAATACACTTAAATTCATTTTGGTATTAAGAATATCTATTCTAAATTTCTTAATCTAAATAAAGCCAAAGACACATTTTACAGTAATGATTAACATTTTAAATTCTTTAAATATTTGACAACATTTAACTAAAAAAGTGTAAAGTAGGAATGTTTACATGTCAATCTTAGAAACTTTAGTTCGTCTCTTGAGTTTTGGTGGATGTGACTGAAGTAGAAATATGTTATTAGAGACAGAGAAGAAACAATAAAGAATCAAAAGAGATCAAACTCACTTTGTCATTTTGCTTTGTTGCAACAATGTAATATTTTTGGCTCAGTTCCCAATATGTAGTGATAGACAATGAATATGTACTAGAGAAGAGAAGCTGTAGAGGAATCTACAATAACATCTTTTTTATTTAAAAAATTGAAAGTTTAGTTTTTGAAGAAAGGACGTATTTTAAGAGGATTAAGAGAGAATCTAAATTAAGGCTATAATACCTCAGCTATTGTTTGTAATAGTTACATGTTACATTATTAGTTTGAATCACTCATTCTATAAAAAAAAAATGATTATTTGAACCAAGAGCAATATAAAACGGCCAGCATCTAAAAACGGGCCTATTCACTATCCATGCCCTAAACCGATAACTTTTAATCTTACATTGACTTGAGATACAAAGAGAAACATTCACATCGTTACAGGCACACCCAATTTTGGTGTGCTACAAGAACTTTGATACAAAACTAATTGAAAGTTATCGTTAAGTACACTCTTAATTAACGGTTTAAAATTAACACAATAATTTTTAGTACCACATAAAATGTACAAACGGTGTAAAATGTATTAGGAAACAAATAGTCACAGTACTATGTTTTGGTTGTAAATAATTAGAGCTTAATATAATGTGTGGTGAAGAAATATATACTGTTTTAGACTTTTGCGACTTTTTTGAACAACAAACAAATTGGAACACGGATGGAAAACACACCTAAACGGATTTCTGCAAGATTTAAATGGGTGTATAAATCTTGCAAAAATTCGTCCAGTTCACCCAATGCTCGTCAAGCATGACGTCACGATAGAAGACGGCAATGACGCAATTTAGCCGTTTGTGATCAGCTGCTTGTTTTAATCTTTCATTGGAAAATAAATCAATAAGTACTTATACGTCATAGCCGTCTTCTATCGTAACGTCATGCTTGACGAGCATTACGGCCTGTTTTTTTTTAGTGTGGCCTTGGTTCACGTCAGTATATTCTTATCCTCTCGTATCTCAAAACACGCAAAATTGGCACCTCTCCGTAGGCTACCAATAAGAATGATCTCTTGTTATCCAAAGTCAATGCATCAAAGCAGGAACTAGATCTGATAATTGTCTGGACCTGTACTGCACACAATATTACACTGTTGCTTGTAGCCCCTCGTGTTTTTTGCCTATGTAGCCCATCACGTACATGTTGCTATGAAGCTTGTCCTTCACTAGTGATGTTACCATGAAGCCTGTCCTTCACTGGTTTTGCCTATGTAGCCTGTACCTCGCTCGGTTCAGGCCAAGCCTCGCCTACCACCACCGTTGCTGCGGCATGAGGGGATGCTGATAAGAAGGTAACACCAGAGGATCGTTGGGTTTCCCCTGGGATGTGCAAGGTTTACCATCCCTCACCAGAACTGGGACAGCCACTCTCCTAGGGGATGGTAGGGAGGAGCCGCCGTGAGGGTCGATGTGCATCCCCTTCTCTTGCTGTGCTCTTTTGGTCTTGTACCTAGAGAATATAGTGATGTTAGAACTTTGAATTCTCACATGTCATTCATTTACATGAATCCTTATCCTAGGACGTTATACTTTAGTCTGAAACAGTTTACACTAATTCCAGACTAGGTCGAGAGGGTCGATGCATTACCACATAGATATAAACCACTATTGTCGGGACCACGTAAGTTTGCAGTTGGTGGAAGCCAATCACAAGACAAGGCTAGTGCGACGTTGCCACATCGCCCGTTGACAACACTAATTAAAATATACTCAGCAATATTTTCAAATCAGCTGGTATTATTAGATTTGGCAACATCGCACGGTTCTCATTGGTTCATTCAAAACCATATGGTCAATGGGCTCCTCCCTAAACTGCAAACTTACGTGGTCCCGACAATAGTGATTGGTGGGTTTACCTAAGTCCCAATCGCGAATGCTAGACCCTCTAGCTTGATAACATAGATTCTAGCATTTAACCTATATACCTATACAACATTAATCAAACACTTTGGTTAAAAAACAAGTGCTCATTTTTAGTCATAATATGTGAACATTCTGGAACTGTATAAAATGTCAACACACAGATATACTATAAAAAAATATAAAATAATCCCTTTAATAAATTACAAGTATTTTTTTTTTTTATTTGAAACGTGCTATTTTTTAACTACTTCAAAATTGCTGTTATTGGTAACTATATCCTTCGATACACAACCATACCAAGACCGACGATTAAAGGCATATTTTAAAACAAGACAATTTATAGGAGAATATAAACTTGATTCAAAGCTATCAATCTTAAATATTCAATTACCTGTGGTTCTGGAACCAGATCTTGACTTGTGTAGGTGTGAGATGTATGATGGAGGCTAGGTGTTCTCTCTCCGGCGCCGACAGGTAGCGTTGCTGTCGAAACCTCCTCTCCAGCTCGTATGTTTGTGCCTGAAAACATTACTCATCATAAACAAAATGTTCTAAAGCGTTTAAAATATAAAATTATCAATCAAATTATGTGTCAACCTTGAGCTTTACATTTTGAGTGCATAAATATGCTCTAGGTCTGTTAGATCTTCCTATATTATTTAGGATGTTTTGTGGTTTGATTTTGGAATAGTAGAGAAAACAATCAATGGTTAACTTATCGTTCTTAAAACAGACGAGACTCTTCGTATTCTAAAGCAGAGTTTGGTATTCAGCGTTGTTATGCCATGAAAATAGTTATATTGCATCTTATTCCTATATAACACAAACAATATTGATAAATTACACCATAAGCGTGTACACAAAGAAAAGGTGGTTGTTTTGCTTTATTTAAACAGAGATAACAAGACAAGCACTCAAGCATGTCATATGTCATTCTGATGGACGGTCTGTCTGATATAACTAGTGTGTATCAGTGAAAAGCAAAGATATCTAGGATATGTAGTATCAGAAATAACGATTCGTCAACTCTGCCAATTGATACAGGGAAATTGCAGTAAAACTATTTGCACGTAAGGCTTGAGTCTATTGTTAATATCAAACATCAAGATAAAAATTCTCAATCAAGAATTTGAGTTTTCGTCATACTTAACTAATAATGGCTGCTTAATACATGTGTTACAGGAAAAAAGTATGCTCAAGGATAGTTAAAAGTAATTATCAGTGTAAAAAGCAAGGACATTAGACGTCAATTTACTGATTTTAGCCGTTTTGAAAATTCGTCTGCTGATTTCGAGGAAGAAAACAGTCTTGATAAAAAATACTATCGTATCATTAGAACATGTTCTGTGTGAATAGTATATTAGTGTATATATGTGAAAGGGGATCCGTGCGTAAGTTGTGCATTTCTATAGGGTTCGATAAAAAAAACTAAAAAATTACAAAAACGAATAATGCAAGTACCCATATAATTTGTAAAACATTATATTTGTTTGAGAGAGTTATTAGGTGAATAATAGTATATTTTATCAATAGGGTCACAATTTCTGTATGTTATCCTCTCTGCTTTGAAAATTCTAGTCATTTTACGTGCTTGCGATTTGTTAATGATTGTCTTACTCTTCCTAAAATAAGAATTTCATAAATCTAGTGCGCAGCCAAGGAGTAGAACAGTGGTTTTCAAAAGTTTACCTTGCTGAAGAGCACTCGCCGCTTCCTCTTCTTGTGCCCCTGGCCGGGTGGCTGACTGTGGTCACCTCTGGAGTGATCGCTCTCGTGGCCATCGTCACCCTCGTCCTCCAACTCCTGGGGGTCATGGACCAGCGAGGTGCTGCCGGAGTCCGTGCCTTCCGTGGCTGAGGCGGAGGTGCTGTCGGGGGACGCTTGTTGCTGAGGTCCGCTTAATCCTGAAAACGAGATGAGGTTTTAAAATTATTAAAGGTCTGCTTTGGAGAAAGTAAGTGAAACTGTTGAGTTTTAGAGTGAGTGAGTTTTGGGATTTGGTTACACGGTAGTGTGAACTTTTACTTTAGGAAACCTTTGCCAGCACACAATATACTTCATAGTCTTTTTTAGAAGATTGTATGAACATTTGTACCTGATTGCACTTGCATCTTTGAATTAAAAAGGGTGTATGATGATAAATAATTATACTATAAACGATTAAAAGCACGGAAGGATGTTTATCACCTTCATTTAATATTTAATGTAAATATATGTTGACGAACTTAAGTAAATAAATGAAAATAGTATGAAGACTGCAATAGTATCAGCATTGACAATTAATTGCTATTGTAAAACGTGAGGCCTGTTTTATGTGTTTCTTGTCAAGTAAAATTGGAGTGCGCTGTAGCCAAATGTCTGTCTATAACTGATTTAATAAGTTTAACATTCTTGCCTTTCCTCTTTAGCTATAATATCAAGAGAAGAAGAATAGTTTCTAAATAAATGGATTTGTCATACTATTGCTATGAAGCCTATTTTGATTCGTACTTTTTGTCCGGTGAAGTTGGAGGGCGATGATGTGTACTAAATTATTTTCTCCTATTTTAGAGTAAGTTTTACGGTATGTACTTTACTCTCAGGTTTTAACACCAGACTAAAAGAAACCGTGATAAATAGTTTTAAATATATCATTTTGTTTGGTCAAATATTTTTCAAGCTGTTTTAACCAATGTCCTGAACACTGGACACAATCATGAAACTGTCTTCAGTTTCTACAAGAACTCATACGCAGCAGTATCACCCTTAACTACCTCCAAATTGTGAACTCTAATTACATTTCCCACAACCGACAACTCCCCCTCAGTAATTGTCCCTGACAATTGTCACGACCGACATTTTGCCCCATGTAATCCACCATGAGAGGTACACAATACCCCCACCATTGGGGCTGCTGCCGGCTGCTGATCTACCATTGTGCATCTGCACACCTCATTGTTGCCCTGTAATCTATATAGACATCTGCCGCATCAATCTAGTTCGCCATCTCCTTATTTTCTTCTAATCTGGTATCCATTCGGTACAATGAGACGCTCCCGACAAAGGTGGCGACCCGGACGTAATCGTCTGTCGATGAAATCGTGTTTTACACAGTGGCTAGCCGGGGGAGGGATCTTTGTCGGGTTCAAATTTAGCTTTTACCATGGATGGAATAACACATGTTAGGATGTAGTGTCTAAGCTAGTCAAGGTGGAAAGTCCAACGCGCTAGGTAAAGCCATACAAACCCCGAAGATTTTATTGAATGCTAGGGAATGAACCCGTACGTACAGAAAATAAACCCGAACCTCTAACCTACCTTTTATGATGAACATTTCAGATTAAATCATGAAAGTATCCCAAAGCTGTAGATATTTTTCATGTGAAAATTAACGTACTATAGCCCTCGCCACCGTACTATAGAATAGATTATCAGACGCAGTATGTCATTTCAATAATTACTGTTTTTACTTTAATAAACCAGCTTTTGAACCAAACAAACCTTAAAGGTAAATTTCTTGAAATTTGCAGCATCCGATAAACAATAAATTATCAAGAAGAAAAAGCTAAATATTCACCCTAACATAGCCTTACTTTCTATTTAAATCGAAGTAGGATGAATTAATTGAGAACAGAACAAATTCGATGGATGAAGTAAGTACTGTAAAAGAAATATTTGGATAAAAATTTTGGAGCCTAAGAAAATAATTATAAAGTGACGAAGGAACGAAAATAACCCATACGTACTGATAAATGTTATCTTCTTGAATATATTTTTTTCTAGTAAACAAAAAAATAATATTAAGTTTTTTTTAGTAAACATTTGCACAAGAATGCTTGATGAATATGTGGAAAAAAACAAAACGTTTTCCAGTTTCGTCCCTTTATTTGCAACAATAGTGAAGTGATTTACACAGTTTAAATGCATGTGCGTGCTAACACTATCTGATTACAAATGAATACACTTAACTGCACTCAAATCATTAGAACACTTTAGCACCCAGTCGTGACTAGGTAGGCACTCAGTTGAAGCCGTAGCGTGTCTTCTAAGGATCGATATCACATCAGAGACCGCCGATATGGAGAACTGTAATTGTGGGGGAATTATACACCCATTCTTATCCAGTTTTCATCGCTGGGATAGAAAGTTTTCGTAAGTTATATTGGGTTGGATTTACTTCAACGCTGAAACACCAGTCTGTAGTAAGGCGAAGAGTATTAAAGAAGGGATGTTTATTAATAAATCAGATGATAGCCTTCATTTCGACTTGGTTCAGGTAATTAAACCAGAATCATTCATACAACTAGGACTTGGTTTCGAATAAACCTAAAGCAACCTTATGTTAGGGTCCAATGTACGACCTTCTAATCATTAGTCGAGAACGTATTCCACAAAATATTTAATTGTTTTCTTCTTTTACTTTTAGCCTCAGCTTTCCGTCATCATAGAATACTTACTTATCTGTGAGGTAATCTAAAGGCAGCGAAGTATCCATATGGTGTACCGTAAGTCATGGCAAACCAATGGTGACCAATGGAAGGATGGTGCAGTCCGGTCGAACCACTGTGTTGCCGTGTTCGGTTATTTCTTCATTTCACAATTAACTGAGCAAGTAAAATGTAACGTTGCAGTATTGTTGAAACGTATTTAATTATCTATCATTTCACATAGGGTTTTGCTAGAATCACAGAGACTGATTAAAATTGAGCCAAAACTAAACGAACAAAACTCGACAACCCCTTTTGAATATTGGAGTCTAACGATGAAATCCCAAACACAAAAACCGTAACAAGTACCACAACTCATGCGAACATCTGGTTTCATTTTGAAGTGTCGATTTACATATGAGTAATAAATGAATTTGTCTTTGTGCGAGTAGGGTGTCGACCGGCTGCTACTCGTGTGAAAGGGTAAGTGCTCAGGGCCGCCATTTTGGGACCCGCCCGATTTTAATAAAGCCCTTGGGCTCATTAATGCCTTGATCAATTCAGTTTATGAGAGACTGATGAAAGAGTTAGCTTGAGTTACCACCGCCCCTTGCCATCGATTGAGTTGGATTTCATGCCTCGTTTGGGTCAACATCACGAGAAACGTCACTCGGTCATTTAAATCACGTGATCGCAGAATAATGGGTCGTTTAATTTAAAGGAGTTTCTTGAAGAGTGGGTTGAACTTTGGTATAAGCATTTGATTTGTATAGATAAGTTATCTCAATAGTCAGCTTTTCATATAGGACATAGACTTTTTGGAGAAGTTTTCTATTTTCTCTTTTAATATTTTAATACTTTTAACTGAAATGGTGACCATACGAAGGTATTTTAAGCCAAGTGTGGATTGAGATGAGTTTCGGATGAATGGTGCGATCTTGTAGTCTTGTTTTTGAGGTTCTTGTTACTGTCAAGGCCGACGTGTCCCTTTAGTCGCACTGTGATGGTTGATAGTAATAAAGTTGTTTTAGTGAAACTAAACGCCTTTTCACATTGGCATGTTTGAACAATTTTTATACTGCATTGAATACTGTATTGAACACTATCGCTGCTCGGTGGGATAGACCTTTTTTAATTTTACAAGGAGATGGTTATATAGTTCACGATTGTGTACATGCATTCAAAGCTAATATTTAGCTACAGTATTCTAATATTTTGTCCATACGCTTTTCAATGACGAAGATCGAAATAGCTTAAAATATTCGTATTCTGTATATTAAAGTTCACTTTTTTTAGAAGCTAACTTTGCTAGAAGATGCATTGTTTCATTTGACATTTTAGACTTATTTAAAACTGAATACATGGGTTTTTATACTTTACTACAATTATAATCAACGAATCCTTCAATTCACTAAGGAAGAGCTCAACAAAATTTTATGTTACCTTATTGATCACGATTTCAAGAAACAAAATCAAGAAAAAATTATATCCACCCTAAATATAATTCTCGAAAACCCCATTTCAAATGTCGATTCAATGAATCTGGCTATTTAACTTTCATAAATGAATAAGAGGTAAAAAGTAAGAAAGATCTTCCTACAAAATAACATTCAATTAAAAATTTTACAACTCATAATAGGAAAATTAATTACATTATTCCACAGTAAAACTCATAAATAATATCTTTGTAAAAGCATTTCCCTCCAAAAAACGTCAATCATTCTTCCCGCCATTCTCACCGCTCTTCCCGCGCAAACAGTTGAAATTCATTTATCAAGCTTGAGCAAACGTTGGCCCAGTTACGATCGTACATCAATCGTGTAAACACCGGGAGTGTGTGGGATGCAGGGTGCTGTAGCTAGGGGAGGTACTCACCCCTGAGTTCCGTCAGCGACGTGGGCCAGTGGGGCGGGATGGACTCTGGGAGCTGGGGGTTGGAGAACAACAGACCGTGGGGTGTGAGAGTCGTCAACTCGGGCCCTGCAACATTAACAATACGACTGTAGTTGTAGTAGTGAAGAGTATCTCTGTATTTTTGTCTTGAAAAGTTGTCTTTGGGGCGTGTTTCTGGCCTACTATAGACCGTTCACAAAATTTAGGCTGTTTAGGGGAAGAAATCTACTCCCTCCACTTGATCCTCATTTTAAAACAGTAGTTAAAAAGCTGAGGTTTATCAAAACATCAATTAGCTGTAACTTACATTACGCAAAAATATGGTAGGGGAATTTCCCTTTAAACCATCTAAATTTTGTGAATGGAATAATAGTGGTTAGCATCTTAGTCTGAATGAGAGATGAAAGGGTTTCTCTTAAAAGTGGTTGAGACAGTACAAAATTGCATGTGGTAGACAGATAAACGAAATAAGTGTAGGCCTAAAACAATAACTAATTTGTTTGTCATATACTAAGAAAAATTACAAAACCCGTGTTTATAAGGTGTTTACTACGTCTTTATAAGTTCAAGATTTGTAGATATATACTTACTTTTTAGGTATAAAGTAATATCCGTTTAAACAAGATTAGAACGTAAAAATCACTCACTTTAATGTTTTGTATATTGTACGACGGCCCTGAAGGGACATTCTGTTTCTTTTTGTCTTTCATTCTACTTCGACTTTTTTCTCGAAGTACTTCGTCTTTTTTCTCGAAGTACTTCGACATTTCTAGTCTAGTCTAACCTCAACTCAACTTCAATACAAATACGTTCATTGGTTCATTCCACTGAGCTAGTTCATTCTGTTCAGCGAACACATAACAAAATATTATTATTATTATTATTATGTGCTCGCTGATTCTGTTCTGTTCTAATGTTCTGTTTCTGTCAAACTTCAGACTTCTTTCTCTGTCTCTGACTATGACCTCTGTCACTGTCGGCCAGCCATTTTTACCATCTTATAGCGACAGCGGAAGCGGGAAGAGAAATAATACATTAAATAAAGAAATTACTAATACAGCTAATTACTAATACGCTTTGCCGAGCTTGTACTTTTCCTTGTACCACTGTGTATGCATCTGTAAGTCAATTGATAATATTTCAAATTATAACTTATGTGTTTTTCTTTTGACACCTTTCTTTCTGGCTATATCGATTGTTCTTGAACGTTTCAAGGCTTCTTAGGCCTATAACTTAGAAGTACAGTAACTGAAACTGAACGTTCTGAAAGTTCCCGTTGCATTATTTTGTAATACTGGAACTGTAACAGAAAACTGGAACGGGAACGGGCTGTGGAGCATTTTGACAGTGATTTTGACGTGCGAATAGTCACTTCGTTATAACAAACTATAATAAGCATATTCGAGAATAAAGTCGAAGTACTTCGAGAAAAAAGTCGAAGTACTTCGAGATAAAAGTCGAAGTAGAATGAAAGACTACTCTTCAAGATCATCAATGGTCAGGTGGACAGTCCTGAATTTCTTGAACTGATTAACTTTCATGTCCCAGTCTCCACCCGGAGATCTCGACCCTTCTCCAAGCATCACCAGCCAACTGCCTACGCTTACCATAGCACAGTTCCCCGTTTACTTCGTCTGGGAAATGCAGCTCAACTTGAGTTCTTCGGGCCTTCCTTGCCACTCTTTAGGAGAGTAGTGTTTAAGTGGGCTGCTGACCAGATCCAGCTTTAGTCTTTGTGCTTTTGGTGGTGCCTCTAGAGGGCTACACTTCAAGTGCCACATGTGCAGTGAAGTGAGTGTGTTTTTGGTGGTGCCTCTAAAGGGCCACACAATCAGTGAGAGGAAGTGCCAACTGCCAAGCAATATTATTCTGTCAATTCAAGTTTTTCTTTTTGTCTGAGATTTATCACTGTATCGTTTTCATTCTTAATATTTTAATCCCTGTTACTTTTTTAAAAATCTTTATCAATTGTTGTTACTCCTTGTTGTTGTTTTCTATAGTTTTTAATGATATATTCCTTTCAATCATTTGTGTTATTTCTATTGTTGATTGATTATCTTCTCGAATATTAATATCTTGTAATATAATAATTTGTAATATAACGGGATTGTTACTTATTTATATTGTTATGTATTTTATTGTTATTTATTTATATTGTTATTTATTTTTATTGTTATTTATTGTTGATTTTTCTATCGATTGTCTTATTGTTTTTTTGTTTATGCTGGAAACTGTTTTTCGCTCATTTTCAAATGGCTCTGTCGTTGTTGGTATGTATGTATAATGCACAATGTATAATGTAATCTTGTTAAACCCACTTGTAAAATGGTGTTTGCCGTTTAATAAAAATGATGATGAAATGATGATGATGATGAAGACAAAAAGAAACAGAATGTCCCTTCAGGGCCGTCGTAATATTTAATAACGTTTCGTGTTTTGTGTTTAACGTTGCTTCAGCAGAGATCCTAACCTGTCTGAAGATAAATATTGGATGCTAAAACGGTCGTAACCGCAAATGTTGAGCTGTTAACGAGGGTAAATCCCATTTTTGTTATATTTCAGCTCTGGGGCTAACGCATGGATCTTAATAGCACTGTGTTACAGTTCCTTACCTGAGGTCTGGGGTGGAAGTGGCTCTTGGCCAGGGGTGACTTTGCCATCGTTGAGGTCGAGGATGTCGCAGATGTGGAAGCCAGAAGGTCGTGCTTGAGGAGCCATTTTCATGTCCAGCAACCTGCATCAGAAATGACTTGTCAATGAGTGTTTTATAAAACGTACATAATATATAAATAAAAAGTGCCCTCTGTATCACGCTGAGATTATTCAATTCTCTGTCGATTTAGTATTTTCAATAAGCTGGATTTTACAAGTTAAATATGAATATCCTACAATTAATTAATAGTCTACACTTCTTTATTCTGTAATAGTACACATATTACGTCACTAGTCCCGAAAATAAGTGTTTACCGGACAAGTGTGGTCGTTCCCATACAATTGTGGCATTTACCATACGAGTACGGTGAACACATTTTGGACGAGTGACGTACGATATTTTACGCCTTACTACTCTAAGATAACTTATCAATAAAAATCTGTACAAATCCTTCTCCCCACCTACTAAAAGGACTAACAATTACTACTCATAATTTTTTAGTTTGTAACCACTCATTGCCAAATATAATGAGGTGGTTGGTGTCCGGTGACAGTACAGTCACAACGTAATGAAACCCCCATTTGATAAAGCTGGCGGTAAACAGCTTCTTTCTGGACTAAATCGTTGCGTGGGAAGTTCGTTAAAAAAGTGTAGTGTAGCGTTAAAAAAACTAGAGTAGTCTTTACTGATTTATGAAATGCTCAAACAACCAGACAACCATTATTTTAAATTCGTTACAAGTTTGTGAAAAGGATCTACAAACTATTATCCTTGATGGAAGCTTATAACTTTGGAAAACACAGTAATCATAAAAAATTGCAAAGAGCTGGACTTTGGAGACAGAAGTGTTTGAACCTATTCCTCGTGTTGGAAGCACATGACTTCAGAAACTGCAGTAGTCCTTATATATTTGTAAATTTCCGGAGACTGAGGATTTTAACATTTGTTTCCTTAGGTTAGCAAATACTCAGAGAAATTGCAGTAGTCCTCATGCAAATTTTAAATAGCTGAAAGCTATTACTTTCAACCTGAATACTTTAATATTTTTTGCCCATCCCTCCTGATTTAAATAATATGACTTCCTAGCAGTGCCACCGTCCCCAAAGGTCCTATTTTTTTCACCGTCGTTTGTTCTTGGGTAATCGAGTAATTTAAACTTATTTCACTTAGTCGTAATATACGAACAGTTCCCACATAATATCGCGAATTGTTATAGTGCATGAGTGAGTGAGAGAGAAGACGAGTGTTTGTGTGTAAGTGAGATGGTGTGAGGCTACATACAAGGGCGTGACGTATGTCTCACGCGACCATTACACAAATACTCACAACCCTAATGTGAGCACCGCCCGCCACACACGACTAATGCACAGATATCGTATGGCTTTTGCTGACAGTTCTCTAATACACAGGTCGTCCTGACTTGATTTACCTATCCTTATTTGTTTCGTACATACAATACATTATTTTATCATTATCATATCACCTATTGCAGAGCACGAGTAAAGCTAATAATTATAATTATGTTAAAAGGAACACATTACGTTACTTAATAATAATTACACCCTTGTACCCAGTGTATCATTTTCCATTGTGTGCACCAAACTGGCTGGAATTAAAAGTATTTTCAGCCTAGCTTGGTTTTATCAGTAGCTTTTCAGAACTTCATTGTACGTTGCAAAACACGAGTAAAGCGTATATACAGTTATGTATACAATTAATTAATTTTGCAAGTGTTAATTAAGTTAAATTAGACACTCCATCCCCAATGTCAAAGTTGTAGCCAGTTGTTGAAATGGACGTATAGTTTAAGTGCCAACCACAGATAGCACTGATGTAAATTTCTGATTTCTGTCGAATATTCAGACTTTTTAGCTTTGTATATAACGGAACACATTGCCAAACATTAATTGCACCACTATCATCCCCCAGAGGGTGAGTAGCGGGAGGTGTCAAAGTGTTTTTTGCCCCAGCTAGTTTACAATTTACAGCCACTTGTCCGAGAGTTACAATGGTGCAGACGTGCGAGGGACGTGGGCCCGAGGATTACTCAGGTGTTTCAAGTAGCGACTTTTGGGAACCAATTTACTTTCTAATAGGATTTATGGACAGGTTACCTCCACTAGAACCTGCGACGTAAACGAGGAGGCTGTGGAACGGCACGTCCCTGGCGATACAAAGGGATGAACAGTGGAGTTTGGAGAACTTGGTGGGAACTAGGATAACGACCGTGGAGTACCTTGTAAAAGATCTATTCTTGAAGTGAATGAGGGCAGGTTTTTCGCAAGAGCTATCCATATTACATTCTTTTCGTGTTCAAGTCACAGGGTTGAAGATTAGATTTTGGAGAACTAGGGTGACCGGTGGAGTAGGTTGTAAAAGATTCATCTTTGAAGTTTGTGAATGAGGGCAATTTGTTTGAAAGAGCTGATGACTTTTTCGTTTACAGGTCAGAGGGTGGAAAGGTTGAGTTTAGAGAACTAGGTGGGAACTAGGATAATGACCGTGGAGTTCATTGTTAAGATTCATTCTTGAAGTTTGTGAAGGAAGGCAGGTTGTTTGAAAGAGCTGATGATATTTTTTTCGTTTTCAGGTCTGGGGGTGGAAAAGTTAATTTTGGAGAACTAGGTTGGAATTAGGATAACGAACGTGGAGTAGATTGTAAAACATTCATTTTTGGAGGGCAGTTTGTAAGATCTGACTGTCCATTTTACATTTATTCGTTTTTATGTCAGATGTTTGAATAGTTATTAGATAACTGGGATAACGAACGGTGGAGTAGATTGTAAAATGATTCATTCTTAAATGTTTTGAATTAGGTTGATTAATTTTATAAGATCGGAAGATCAATTTACATTTATATTTATTTTCACAATGTGAACTATTTAGGATATATTATATGTTATTGAAGATTAATTAAGGAAGTTTTTGAATGAGAGTAATTTGTTTGAAAGATCTGGTGATCCCTTTTACATGTTTCCGTTTTGAAGGAGGGCTATATGGGGACTGGCATAACGACCAGTAGGTTTTATAGATTCATTCTGTAAGTGTCTGAATGAGAATAATTTATTTGTAAGATTAGGCAATTTTTTCGTTTTGAAAGGGATGGCCTGAAATTTAAATCTTTTTGGAATATACTGTTTAAGTCTATAAAATTTTGTCATATTTATGTATTGGTTTGACCGTTGGTATGAATAAATAAATAAATAAATTAAGCGTAATTTATATTTCAATCAATTTATATGGATGATTTGATTGCTAAACTTAAGTTTGTGCTGTTTGCTAATTAATGTGTTTAACCTTTTTTTTTTATTTATTTATTTTTACTCACTGTGTTAAGTTTTCAGTAACGGGGGACCGATCCATGGTATAGTTTATGTCGATTGTAAAAGCAATAAAGTATAAAAGAAACTCACGTTTTTTACAACAAATTTTGGCTTTCATTTTTTAAGTTCCTGTGAATCTTTTGGCCATTTAATATTGGTGTCAATAATGTGTTATTTTATTTACCCTACTATTGTAGTTTGTGTGTTCATACATTTGTATTTTTGTTGTATAATTCGTAGTTGTTTTTGTCTTTTATATTTAAATAGCAACTTTATCCAAAATACTAAATAGTGTTGATGTACATTGACTAATAATGGAAGTGTATGGCGCTATGGAACACATGTTAAAACGTTTTTGCATAACACTGTGCGTAGTAAATATACGTACTACTTTATCTACGATGAACGCAGAATGGCTCAATATCAGAATTCGATATTTAGGAGAGAGGTTAGTGTTTGAAAAATATTATCAGCCCACTGACTTTAAAAACTACTACATTTACATACTTTATTAAAATTTACAGCAGTAAACAGAATAAAAGATCAGATTCCCAATGAAGGTACTTTCACACTTAAGCTTAAAATTGTCTTTAGGGGTTATAACAAAATATATAGGCTAACAGTAGCCAGCAAACATGTTTTAGAATATCGATTTAAAGGAGGAAAAATCAACTGAATTTTTTTATTTGTTCAGGTGGTATACTCAGTTACAACTTAAGCCACAAGAAAACTAAATCGTCATTATTAGAATGAAATTACATTTATATGTTTAATGACTATTACAGTTTGGCCCGGTTTTATTTCAATCAAAACGCGGTAGTCCTACTATTAAAAGGAATACGGATAAAATACCAGATTTGTAAGTTATACAATAATTATTACATCTTGATAAATAAATAAACGTCAAGCATTGTAGTAACGGAGACTACAACGCGCGTGGCTTAGGTAGAGAAAGAGTTGTATACATGTATTAGGGAATCCGACTTGTTTTGAATACATTACAGAAAATTACCAAGTTCAAAAAATATTTTCACATAACAGTATACTGCATTTGAATTTAAATTAACGCAGTATTACTGTAAATCCATATTTTATGTATAACTACATTCACAGCTTAAAATTGTGTTTTTTATCTATCCATGAATGGTACTTTAGTTGAAATTATAATTGTTAAACCAATTTTTTGCGATATGAATAAATATGTTGAATATAAATAACAATCTATATTTTATATCTACTTTAAGAATAAAAGGTGGTGGTATTGTTGTATTCAATTGTGTTTAAGTAGCCTTTTGAAAGAGTGTAAGTATCTTTAGACGTTAAACGTATTTTTTACAAAAACCTTCCACTTTTAAAAGTTTATATTAGTCTAAATAATAATTCTGTATTTCGTATAATCGTTTTATTGTTTTCGTTCGATTATAATATTTTATACGATGGCCACCAATCGGTTTTTAATCCCAACCTATTTAACATAAAGTATATCATAACATGTCTAATTCTTATAAACTTCTTTGTATATTATTCTTATATTAAATTTGCTGTAAATTATTTTACTGTAAATACTAGATTCCATACATTAATACCTAAAACATAAAATCGTTTTAAATTTAATCTCTGTACTCCTATGTGCGAGTCTGTAAGACAGTTTACACATAATTAATTAAAACGATTACAGATTATCTGGATTTTATCAAACAAAAATTATACTATTGAAAAAATAAGGCTTTCTGCTTTAGGTCAAGTATGTTACATTTTGTTTCACCTAGTATATAAGACTCAATAATTGTATTTACGTTTACTATTGAAATTCAGCCTCAGTCTCGACGAGAAAAGGTCTCACATCCAAATTATTTCATTATAACAATGAAACAAGCTTGTTTGGTAATTTACATGTTAGAATTTAATGTATACTGCAATAATCGATGGTTTATTGCACTAAGTTCGTATTCCTTGAACGCATTTAAATGTTTAAAACGAATAATTAACGGTAAAATCAACACTGTCCACATAGATCATCCCCAATGTGTGATTGGTTTAAAAATGAATTAAAAAAACATTATCTAATATATGCACGATAAATTGCGCCCTTTTGATTAAATCGTGTTTGGACCTTTTATTACTTAATACCTTTCGGGTTGGATCTTGGATAATACGTTTTTATTTATTTATTTTATTTCCCAACGGCATAGCCACTTTACAATGAAAAACATTTACAACTTGAAATTACAGGAAACAAAATAGTAAAAGTTGTACAAATAGTGAACAATAACCACAGTAGTAACAATATCAATAGTAACAAAAATATTAACAATACAAATATTCACAATTTGTAAATTTTTTTAACAATTTTTCACTTGTCTCTCGAACTAACATTGGAAAAATTTAGCCCATTCATAAATTCAGTTAGTGCAAAGCAAATATACAATGATATAGGTAAATAAACACCCAATGAAGGCAATGTATTGACATATAAAAAGGTTTATGTAGTAAAATAGGGTTTTTTTGTTTGAATCACGCATGATACTTTATTCCCTCTCTTCTTGAAGAAACCTTTAGCCAAATATTTAGCCCATTTATATTCTAGTTACTAGAATGGAAATAAACATCATATAGAAATACATACCCAGGGAAGGCAGACCGTATTGCGGCAGGGTTACACCATGCGGCTGGTAGAAACGAACACCAAGGGGGTAACAACGTGGGGCACCACAGCAACGGCGTGTGGGGAACACGGGGGGCACGGGCCTTCGTGGAGTCCGTCATGATCACTAACACTTGGGAATGTCACTAACACTATCACTTCATGGTCGTTCAAACTCAGTACCACATAAAAAAGAGTCCACAGCGTCCTAAAATTCAGCACAACCACTTTTCACCTATTCCAACCGTTGAAACTTCCCGCTCAAACCACGGAAAACACAGTCGCCTTCACAGGTCCGAAGTTCTTGAATTTAGTTAAAATTCAACACTGCCACAAACTATTTTACTTTCAACCCCGTGTACTTCGAACTTTCTCAAACTTCTAACCGGTTCCAAAATGCAAATTGTAATTGAAACGTCCCAGAGGAGTGTTTGTCGGCCACTCGGCTCCACTTGAGCACTAGCACCCTCCACACTTGAATTTGGAAAACTCGAAACCTTCTCCTGTTACCACTTGTGGCCGCCAATGGGCGAGGGAGGGGCTAGCGGGCGGCCAATGGGAACGCGACGGCGGCGTCACGCCATTGGCTCCCTGTGGGGTGCTAGGATTGGCTGGAGTCACACGTGCACCCTTATTGTTCGCGGGGTATTGTGGCGTTCGATTATGTGCTGTGTGGTTCTAAGTGAGCGGTGATATTTCAGTTGGACGGGCCACAAATTATCGGTCATGTGATAACGATTGTTTTATCGTCTCGTGGAGTACTTCCCCGGCGTTTAGGCTGTTGCAAACAAAAGTTGAAAGCTGCAAACAAACTTTTTCGCGACGGGTTTGAATTCTTCTTGTAAAATTCTAAATTAATCGGTATGGAAACATATTTTTCTCGTAGGACAGCTTTTTTACGTGTAGTTGATGTGGTGGAATTCTAAATTAATGGGTATGTGAAATAACTCATTTTGCAAGAACGGTTTTAATCCGAATCGTACATGTGGTTGAATTATCGTAATCGTGTGTACTGTAAGTGAAAAATTATGTTTTTTTTTTTAATGGTCTTGAAATTGTGGTGGAACTTTTGGTAATATTGATATGTACAGTATAATCGGATTATAGAAATTTGTGCATTTACTTGTTAATCATGTCCAATTTTTAAGCTTAATTAAATAATGTGATTTTGACTTTTCATTACTTTATTCCTGAATACATTTACGTATTTGCAGATTCTAATCTGAGCATATAGTTTGATAAAATGGGGATGTATTTATAAAGTGTAAAGAAATCTTCATTCTAAAACCTTTTGAGTGTTGTCCATAATCATGGAAAATAACATGTAAGTAGGCCTAACTTAAGCAAACGATGTTCATTTGATTGTTGTAACATTTTTAGTAGCTATTTTTTAATTTCAGAATAAAGGACAAACCACTTATGCAGTGGTTAAGCAATTAGTCATCCAGAAATGAAAATTAAACTTTGCTAGTAAAAGCCACCAGTTTACCAATTTAGTCAAATCCCTTAAATTTTTTTCTGTGTAACACAGCAGAAATATTTTAATGCGCATGTGATTGGTTGAATTGAATAAGCTTAAGCTGTAAAACAAGTCCTGAAATTATCTGACAGGTCTATCGGATATCTAATAAATGTTTGAAGAAAATTGATAGGTCTAGTTAGTTCTGTAATGGTATATTTTTTACACTTTTTCCAGTAAAAAAAAAACATAGTCACCATTACAGTATTTCAAAATTTAGCTTTATACCTTATTATCACAATAAGTATATTTTAAAATAAATCACATCACTTATATATTATTTTACAGTAACAAACGAGTGATAAAAAAAATTATATAACGTTAAGGGTTATTGATTTTACAAAATCATATAACAATTAAACTCATTCATGAATAACACTAATATTCATGAACAACTTAAATTAATTATTGAGGCAAGTTAATTAAACCCGGAAATGGAAAGGGACACGTGTGTACTTTATTCATTATATTTAAATAGTTTATAAAACATTTGGGATTCTAAGTAAAATATAAATTCTCTTCATTATTTCACAAAACACAATCACTTTGCACAATACACAATACTGTCTATTCTAACTAAATTATTATTCTCGTCATTATTTTAAAAAACAAGTCAATTTTTACAATAAAACTACATTACACTACATTAACTACATTAACGGTTACGGCATAAAGAACCTTCTAAATATTACTACAGTGTTGTATTACAACACGTTTCCTAGTCTATACAATTTGTGCTCATCAGATATGTTGGTATTTCTGGTGAGAAGATATTTCAAGAAATCGTACATATTATATTTGATTTTATTCACAGTGAATTTCCAAGCAACAACTAGTAATCTATTAATTATGTTAAAATTCCTTTATTTAATTACCATGAATTGAAGGGTAGTAATTGAATGAATACGTATTGTATTTTAAACGATTTTAACCCTTTACTGAAGCAGGACGTGCTGTTGGTCTAGCGGTAAGATCCCGGCAGTCGATGGGAGCTCGGGATGAGAATCCCGCCAATCAATTGATCAACAATAACTATTATTTATCTGATAATATCGTGACCCAGTGGTTCGGAATCCAAGGAAAGCACAGACCACATTGTCTTAAAAAAAAAAAAAGATTGACCTCTTACAGTAGAAGAGGGGTTTGTTTCTGTTGTAGAATGTTCTACTATAAAATCAAATCAAATCTTTATTGCCAGAACATTTTACAATGCATAGCAGTGTCAACTAGTTATAATAAATACAACTATAAAACAGTCCACAGATACTCACAGGCATTTTTAGTTATAGGCCTACTATACATGGTCATTAACATTAAGGAAAAACTCAATTATGTCATATGGACTAATACTAATCAAAAAGTGCTTAACGTTCCTCTTAAAACAGTTAAATTCTAAATTATAATAAGAGGGTAGAGAATTATACAGTTGTTTTCCTATTTCAACAAAACAATTCAGAGTAATTTGTTAATTACACTGGGAAATTCTAAGTGAGTTACAGTTTCTAGTGAAATAGTTATGAACATTTTTATTTTTAGTTATAGTATGTAAATATCTTTTAATAAACAACAGACATTCTAAAATATAAATTGCAGGTACAGTGAGTATATTGAATTTTCTAATCAATGGCTTACTGTGAGTCCTCATGTCATCATTTGCTATGACTTTAATAGCACGCTTTTGTTCAATTAACAATTCCGTAACATTAGTGTCATTTAACCATACAATAATTCCATAATATATAGCTAAGAAGGTAGGCATAGTAAACTGTAATGAGAATATCCGTTGACACAATCGATCTTAGCCTAATCAACATAAAAGTTCCCTTGGGTAATTTACTGCATAACATTACGGTAAGTTTGTCCCATTTTACATTGCTTTGAGGAAGAATTCCTAAAAACTTAACAGAATTAATACTCTCATTTGCATATGACCTCAAACAAAATTCCAAATTTTGAGTTTTCTGTTCATTAAGACAAAGTGAATTTGCAGCTGACCAGTCCTTAACAATATCATTAACCTTGATTAGAACATTTTTTGCAAATAAGACATCATTACATTGAAAATTTGAACAGTCAAATCATCAGCAAACAAAAAAAAATTAACATGGTCATTATTAACAGCAAAAGATAAGTCATTCAGATATACAATAAAAAAGACAGGACCCATAATTGAGCCCTGTGGGACACCAGTTCTTACACCTAAATAATGGGAAAACAGCCATTATAATACACTGCTTGTAGTCTCTCAGTCAGGAAAGATTTCACCAAATCAATGGTTAAGTCGTCAAAACTGTAAAATTTAAGTTTGTGCAACAAAACAGCATGTGAGATAGTGTCAAAAGCTTTTGACATATCATAGAAGCTACCAAACACAGTGTTCTTACCATCCAGCCCATAGATACATCTTTTAACAAATTCAGAGATGGCCATATTGGTACCTCTTTTAGGCTTAAAGCCACACTGTAAATAAATAAATCGAGAATTCAGTTATTTTTCAAAGCTATACATTACTTGAAAGCGATTTATTCCATCTACAAATAGTTTCAGATTCCACCTAGTAATTCTATTACTATTCACCTAGTACTACAAAGTCTATTAAAAACCAAATCAACAATAACACCGATTCAGCGCAAGTCTAGTCAATACAAAAAACGTCTTCTTCATTAAGAACTGGTAATATTGAGTAAAATAAAATTTTAGATAAAGACTTCACCAAAGTTTTTTGAAAATAAAATTCTAAAATATCGGTGAAGTTTTATAAAAAAAAATTCTTTAGAATACACATATGTATTTAAATTAAATACATATAACTAGCCTAAATTTATTTTTTTCAATTATTACATAATATGTCTCACATTTTCAACTCATGCGAACTCTTGGACGCGGTTAAAGGGTTAAATTACTGATATAAGTTTCATTCTTATCAATTTCCCTAATAAATTAATTTCAATTTGAATTTCCCTATAGGAAGTAGCTATTACCGTAGGTGGCACGGTAAGACCTAGGAACGGGACCGATTTACTTTTTTTATTTTGATGTCTCCAGAGGCCAAAAACACAATTCGATCAAATTTTTATACACATATATATAGAGTTGTATGTGTGTCCGTAAACGCGATAACTTGAGCAATTTTTGTCAGATTTTACTAAAATTTGGTTTGAAGGTGTAAGGCGCGATGAACTTGGATGAGTTCGCAAACCAGCATGATCGGACCATGGGAACGAGGTTTTACGGGGGGTTTTCATTGGATAACATTTTTTCTCATTTTTATCATCAAAACACAAAATTTCCCAATTTCTCTCTAGACCGTTTTGTAGAGCTTAAAAAACAAACAATTCAGTATATAAAAGTGTTGTTGTACGGTTTAGTTACGGAGAAAATTTAAATAATTGTATTATTACAATTCCACGTTATTTTAAAGGAGAATATTGTAAAATGTTATAGTTTGCTTGTTTGTTGATATATTTTGATCAAAGCTGCCAAATTTATTTACTTTATAACAAGCTATTAATATTTTACTAAAAACACACTTTATCAGTTCTGTTGTAGCAGCAAACCTAGGTACTCGTTAAACCTAATGTTATTTAAATAGATTTAATTGAAAATCAATCCAGGCAAATGGAAATTCGCTTGGACGGCAGGTTTGCTACGGTGGGGGTATTTTTATTTTTAAATGTTTTGTTTGAAACGTAAATGGTGCAAGGAAGTATCACAGAGTGAAATAGAATCGGACCGTTCCCTTGCAAAAAGCTTTTAAAAGGCGATTAAAGGTAAGAATAAACGCACAATAAAAACCCTTATATGTCGACGTACCGTCAATGTTTTTTTTGTTTTTTTAGACGTTGTGTGTTTATGGGCAGTATAATTTTATGATTCGCACAGTATTAATGAGGAATTGGCAATGTTGGTTTAAATATATATTTTTTTAATATTTCACCGCTATTTTTTCATTGCACAATGTTTATGAATTTTTAAGACAAAAATAGGAGTCGTTTTTTCACAATGTCACATATTTAACGATTTAAATAAGTACCTAAATGCAAAAATGTGAATGGAATAATTGCAGAATAAACACCCTGTAGTAGTCACAGCCATACTCTAGAGTTAAAAAAATGTGTCTACTTGGTCTAAAATACCCAAATAGCAGTTTGTGCTAAATAGGGGGGAACGATCTATGGGATCAGTAATAGAATAGTTGAATGCACAACTAGATATTCATTGTTTTTTAATTGGGTGAAACGAACATGCCCGTGCATGAACTAAGTTAACTAAAAAGTTTTTCTTTTAGATCATT